AGTAAAAAATGTAACTGAATACGAATTTTCCCTAACTCGAACTTTTTTGCTGTCACCTTGACTATTCAAATTAGAGGAATTTCACTGTACAATAACTAATGACTTGTATCTGTACAAACAGACAGACGGGAATGATAGACGAGTGGCTCTGAGATAAAAACTAGACAGACAAACGACATCATAATATCGACTCATGTTTTAAATCCTCTTTCCTACGTAGCTACTGTGTTTTAATTAGACTTAATAAATCCTTTATACACAAACTTATCAAATTTCGAGCAACAACGCATTCAGTATAATTAAATTAAAAAGTAAGTAAACTATATATAAAAATGACAAAGCAGTTTTTGTAATTTTAGTTGATCTACAGCGGTTTGTTACATTTCCTAAACAAATTTATTGTTCAAGAAACATATTTTAAAAATAATATTATAACTGTTTATAGTTTAAATATAAAATTAAGCGTATTATATAGTTTATAGATTAAGTTCTTGTTTTAACACAAAATAAAGAAATAAGTGCATATTAACATAATTTTAACCATTTCTGGAGTAATGAGATAGCAATTCTTTAGAAATAAAACTGATTCACATTTTTTTAATTAAATATAAACTACATATAATTTACCTGGCATTTGGTTTATCAAAACTACGTGATGTTTTTAATATGCCTTTGCAGGGCTTTTTGGCATCAGGTGAATCCTGATGCATATTTCCGACTTTTTAGATTAACGTACAGATAAGAACAGCCACCAACACGTTTTACTGATTGTTGTTGCTGTAATCTAAAAATAATTGATATAAAATATATGTATACATTTTATTATACTTATAAATGTGTTTACATAAAAGTATGTTTCACACAAACAATTTTACAATTTACAAGCACATCGCATTAAACGTTTCGTAATTTTCTAATTCTGATGATACACCAAGTCAAATAAATAAATAAAAAAAGTATGCATGATATCATAGGGTAATTTAAATAAGCTTACCTTTAAACAATTTGATCAACGGTATTAGCTACGGCGTATGGAAATGTCTGTCATCAAAGGTCACGTTAATTAAATGTGGTGATACGTAAATCGAAACAGATTATTTATTTGCTGCTAAAGTTACCTAATTTGCCGTTTTGATTCCTTTCTCAGAGAATTGTTTGTGGGGTGTATGAAGTCTCGTCTGGCGTATGATGTGTTTTTCAATTTTGATCGTTTATTGAAAATCCTAATGTATTACTTATTGCTTTTTTTATTTAGCACAACCGTATTAATTCTTCTTTTATACTTATTGTATGAAACCAACTCCCATAAAAATTTTGTTTTACGAAATTGCTTTTCGTCCCAATTTTTGTCGTTTTCGTTGCAGCTGTCAGTTTGACTTTAATATATTGTATGCCCCAGAGTGCTGCCCATACGCCGCAATTTAGAATTTTGGTGATGTTACCATATCATACATTTCAAAACCTTATTGTAGCATTTTTGTGGCACGAAATTTATTAGCAAAACGCTTATATATTAAATCATATATTTTTATGACAGTTAATGCAATGATTTTAAAATAATAAACATGCATATAATATTTTTTGTAGCTTTAACATGTTCAACTGAAACGAATTAGCTCTGCCAAAATTCTTCATCACCTCCAACCACAATTCAAAAATGAAAATCTCAATGTTAAGAACAGGAAGCATATATATAACCAAATAATTCGTCCGTCAGTTCTATATGGATGTGTAACGTTTAGCAAAGCCTCAAACACTATTATTCGGCAGCTAGAAATTGCTCAAGGCCGGGCTCTAAGAAGACTTTTCAAAGTACCAAGGAACATTACGACGAATGACATCCTCAGGGACCTCAAGATCGGTCCGATCAAAAAATACATAAAGGATAAAGCCTTGATATTATTTACGAAAACCAACAGGCTTACCAACACCGCATTGTCGAATCTCAGAATGGTTACATGCTCCTCGGGGAGGTATGCAGATCTAAGGTCAATTATTGCTTAGTCTGATGAAGTGATAAACAATAATCCAGTCAAGGCGTAAAGAGGGGTTTTGAAGATATCTCGAGTTAATAGAGAGTAAAACTACTCAAGTGCACTGGCTCAAATAGCTTCAACATAATAATAATAACAATGTATGAAATAACATTTTGCATAGAAATTCTATCTATACATTTTTACTTCTTTTATACGTCGCTATAGCAGGGAAGGTATATATTGCATTTATCTGTCATATTCGTATATAAGTTACATTTTTTGGACATGAATACTCCAATAGAACAATTTCTGGTTTCTTAAGAATAATTTGACAATACTGTTTATATCAGTAAACATACAACAGGTATAAAAAGATTCAAACAATTTTGTGGTTGATAATTACACATAAATACAGAAATATCTGTAGATAATATTATAAAAAAGTTTTTTATATATATAAATAGAATATTATATTAGCCGTATATTTTTCTTAAAGACTAGCAAAAAAATACTCGTAACATACGAAAGAAAACATATAAAGCAACAACAATGATCTTAAAATCTTAGTTAGGTTTTACTTCCAAAAAATTTCACGTCTTAAGTTTTAATGCACACAAATTCAAAAATCAGTCTAGTGTGAATGTTCACTGGAAATATATTTTAAAATCGTAGTCATCCGTTAAAATCAAATGAGCATTTCATATACTAATAAATTCAAATACATAAATAATCTAATTTAAATATATAATATAAAAATGCTAACAATTGTCCTTCTAATATTCATTTTGTTTTCTTTTATTTAAATTAATTAATTTTTTGTGTTTACAATTTTTATATATCACATTGTGAAAACACAATTACAAACATATGTTAAGAATAAGCATATATTTTCTCTGCCTCGGCCAGTAAAAAAAAAGTGTTACCAACACAATAAGCGAACTATTGTGAACCTTCATTGGAAATTCCAACGAATATTGCAATCATATGTCAAAAATTTCATATATTTGAAAATTGAAAAAAAGAAAAATTTCAGTGGTTTATTTTGTAATTTTCAATATTTTTACCATTCCTTTTAATTACGTATTCATTTTCATTTTTAATTTATGTTAATTATATATTTTTATACGAAATGTAATTTGCTTGCATTATGCTATTTTTGCTATTTGTCAAAACATAACACTTGACAGATTGCAACAGTGATGCCATAGTCGCGTGGCCAATATAGGCCAGTATACATTTTTTGCCATACTTGTGAGCTACCGAAAAGGCATAAAATTATTGTTTCGCGTACATTTCGGGCAGTATAGGCTAGTAACTTGTTGTTTTTTGCCATACTTGCCAGCAGATATAAACAGATATATATTAGAACTAATACTTATATATCTTTAGTGCTTGTAAATAAGTATTTTAAAGATTTGTATGACTTATTAAATTAAGCATTTCTTGCTTTATTGTTTAATACAAAATGCTTAGTTTTAAACACTACAAATATTTACTGAATATTTGGCGCTGGTGTATTGTATATCTATGTGTTTATATGAATTTCATAACAAATTAAAGTTATAAATATGGCAACCCTAAAATGATAACAGATGGTGTTAAATACTTCCATTATTTTGTAATGTTATTTTTTTGGAAGTAGTGTATTTGCGACTCAATACTAAGTCAATAATCGGAATAGATTTTACTCGATTCTTCTATAAAAATTGTTAAAACTAAATTCATAATAATAAATTAAAAGACAGTGTTTCGATATAAATAAACAAAAAAAAATTTGCTGAATTATTTTTAGTTTAAAGCGATGTTAAATGGTTAGAATTGAAAAATTGTATACTAATACGAAAACGGTGTTACAAACGCATACATCAATATACATAAACAATTATAAAATGCATTAAATACTATTAAACAAAACCATATACAAAACAACAAAAAACGTATAATTAAAAATTTCAGTCACAACATTTCTAATTGCAATATTTTCAATAATGGATCAAAAATAATTTTTTTTAATTATGTCAGTAATTACGAAATTACAAATAGCATTCAAACACATCACCACCGACCGTTCTACCCGGTAGTGATGCTTAATTGTGTTGCTTCCCTTCACCCACTCAACGTATTAAGGTCTATTAAGTTTAAAAGTATTTTATTGAGTCAGCGTATACATTAATCTTCATGGCAATGGGTCAGCTTAAGTTGTTTACCATAAAGATAATCAGAGCAGAGACATCGTTTTTATTATGATGAATATTAAAAAACTTTATAATTTGTGCTTTGGACTTCGAATTTTTTATGTCTGATTCTTACTAGTAATTACGTATTTTTCTCTTGCGTATTTGCTACTATATAGCATTGCGTAATTTATTTATATTTTGGTTTATATATTCAGTTGAAATTCAATATTAGCGAAATGCTTATCTTTGTTTACATAAAGAACCAATAAATTTTATTAAGTTTTTCGTTGTAAAAATCAATATGCAAAGCTTAACGAAATTAGGAATCAGTTTATAAAAAACAGCTGAATTGTTTACTTGAAACTAGTCTTTAAATATTTAATTCTGCGAACACACTTTGAAAATGACTCATATTACCCGGAATTGTTTTAGATTTCAGTTACAAATATATTTAGATAATTACATATACTATATAAAATAAAACACATGTTTCGAATTAGTTTAGTACTAATATGCAAATATCATATGTATACTAAAATAAAAATGAAAAGTATTCAATGAGCGGTTTAAAGAGATGCGTAATAAATAAAGCATGTGCGCTTCTTCTGCACGGATCTTATATTCACATAGCAAAGGTGGAATTAGAAACCAACCCTCGCTTTAAAAGAAATCTTCAACATATTCTCTTATACAAATAATCACATTTACATAGATCATAACAAATGTTACTTTTGTCCATCATACATTACTGAAAAAACATTACATATGTATGTACATATATCAGTAACCGTAAAAAATTTTTAAATATATGTCAGTCAACTCATAAACATTCAAAAAAAAAATAAAATTTCACCAATTTGTTTAAAGTTTATTTTAATTACCAAAAATAATTCAACTATCCAATTACTATAAGTCTAAACAATAAGAATCACATCACTTTAAACAACATGGCATGGATGGGTCTAGGAGTGATTGCTTCCGGTTTCGGTATTGTGAACTCTTTTATATGCTCCATAAATAATTGTTTTGTCTTATATTTACCATATTCTTCCTTCATTAATCCAAATCTATAGATTAACACTAAATGTAGAGCAATTACTTAGTGATTTTTAATTTGAATATATTAACTACGATTTAATTCTATATCTAGTTTTGCAGCGATTACTGGGCGGCGAGACAGCCCCCAATAAAGTAATAGAAATAAAAAGTGAATCATTGGGTACACTACAAGTACTGGCACGTGATGATGCTATGGTATTATTTGCTCCACCCTTTAATACAAACGAAAAGAAGGCTTTTTATGAAATCGTTCTACAGCGTCCATGTACCGACTCGAATACTACATCCTTCAGTTTATATCGTTCAACCACGCAAACTGAGGCAGAGGAAAAATTTAATACTTTTATTCATCGATTGCCAATATTTGTTAGCATTGTTAAGGAAGTAAGTGTACTAGTTTTTTCAAAATTATTTGCTATATAAATATTCCTTATTATATATTATTATGAGTAAATATATCAACTTACATTGATTGTCTATAAATATTCAGTTTTTTTGTCCCAATTTTACAAAAATTTTAAATATTTAAAACTAATAAATTTAATATGTTTATTATTTTATCAAATATATAGTTTTACAATATTAATGGCTTGCAAAAAGTTTGTGATATTCTTACGGAGAATCCTGCATGGTCCTTAACGCATTTAGTTGCTTATTTCAATATGGTGGATTACATTAGTAATCCTAAAGTTCTTCAATTTATCGATTATGCTGATCACGCAAATCTCATGTCACCATTTCAGGTAAGCATAAACTATTTAAAAAAGTTCTAAAATTAGAAATGTGTATCACTTTTAAAACGGAATTTCTAGGGTTTTACCAGATATATGCAAAAGGTTTTTATCGGTGTTTTTGTTAAAGGAAACAAGTAACATTCAAAGAAAATTTTTGTTAATTATAATTATGACCTCCTACACATGTCGCCCATCTTAGAGGTAATTTATGAATACCATATCAGAAAAACGGCTTGTTTTTCATGGCAAATCATTCGTTGAACCATTTTCAACTTCCTTGTTATTGCTAAAGTACTACTCTGCAAGCGCGTGCCCCTTTAATGTGCAGAGGTGATAGTCAGATGGCGCCAGGTCTGGGGAGAGATGGGTGCAGAAGAATGCCCCATCCAACCGATTTCAAGGTACCTTTCACGAGTTTTGGTGTGTAAGAAGGTGCATTATCGTGTAACAAAATCACTTTGCCATGTCCTCTGGTCCATTTCGGTGGTCTTTCGATTAACGCGTGATTTTAATTAACTATTCGTTAGTGTTAGCCGAACTTCAAGCGTTCATAATGCACAATACTTCGGATTTTCAAAACAAATCTATTTTTTGTTACCAGTAACAATTCGATACGAAAATGATTTTCTTTCCTGACGTTGAAGAAACAATTTAGAAGTGGCTGTTGGATTTTCATTTTCACTCTCATATTAAATTGATTTCAACGTCCGTTTTGAAGAAAGAAACTAAATTCCTAATATAAAGTATTGTTTTAATAGACAAGTTTTTATCGAAAAGTAATAATATTGCAACAATAACGTGCATTCAAACAGTGTGAAATCCAATTTCCCAGTTTATTGGTCTTCGCCATAGCTCGTAAATGTCTTTTGATTAATTCTTGTGATACATTAAATGCTTTTGCCAATTGCTGTTAAATTTGAGTAGAATTACCATCCAATAACTCTAGCAATTGCTCATATTCATATTTTTGTGGACTACCATAGAGCTCAGTTTTTCACATAGAAATCACCACTTTTAAATTACTGAAACCATGTCTGAAATTGTTTTGATCTTCGGATTGTATTCACCATATGTTTCTACCAGCAAATGATGACTCTTAACTGTCTTTTACTTTTGATTAATTAAGAAAAGTCATGCGTGTCGCAAATGTTCTATTTCAAGCAAAAAATTCGACATTATCATTGAAGAAGTATGCAAGTTTTTGACGTACTCGACTTAAATGTGCTTGGTAATGTACAGGTAATGATACCTGCAAAAGTTCGTTCGTTCGCAAGCGTTCGCTTCGGCTTGGATGCACCTTCAGGCGAACAAAATCACGTATTTGACAAATTAATATGCTCCGTACTTTTCGCTGGCGCTATCTCTTAGTTAAACTGGAGAAATCTTACGCATACATCTGGTAGTCTAATTGTACCAACTATATGTATATGTGCATTTAAAAAGTCGTAAGAGGTGAAAAGATCCACCTTAGAAATGTATACACAGTTTACAATCACGTTGCTAAATATATTTTATTCTAGAAAAAAAACTAAATTACTAAAAATTTCTAATTGCAGTTAGCTGTTAAATGTGGCAATGTCGAAATGGTTAAAATTCTTCTACCACTTTGCAAAATCGAACATTTGGATAACAATAGCAACTCAGTTTTTCACTACGCAGCAAGTACTACCAAGGAGATAATAAATGTAAATTTAATATAATTATTATTTTATTTAAACAATTCTAATGTATTATTTTTTGCAGATATTAAGTGAAAAGAGCACTGTAAATCTCAATCATCTTAATTCTGATGGTTATACGCCATTACATTTGGCTTGTCTATCTGATAAACCAGACTGCGTTGAGGCTTTGCTACTAGCAGGTGCTGATGTTAATATAAGCGCTAGTAATGTTAGTAAGATTTACAACACATCAGCCCCAACTTCAGTTGCCGGTTTTCTTCGTAACAACACGAATAAATTATATAAACAAGACATGAAATATGGTGGTACACCTTTGCACTGGTGTTCATCACGTGAAACACTACAAGCACTTATCAATAGTGGTTGTGATGTAAATGCAGCCAATTTTGATGGACGCACTGCTTTACATGTCATGGTAACAAATTATTCAATAATATAAATACTTTAGTTATTATTATATTAACTATTTTTACAAGGTGGAACGAAATCGTTTTGAATGCGTAGTAACGCTGTTGGCACATGATGCTGAAATCGATGTTTTTGACAAGCACGGTCAAACTCCGTTACATATTGCCATTCAAAAGAAATTTGTACCGATTGTTGAATGTCTTGTGGTCTTTGGATGTGACATTAATATTAGAAATAAAGATGGTAACAGCCCAAGGCATATGGTGGGTACTGAAGCTAATGGCAGCAAATCGGATGAAATTCTCTATATATTGCATTCTGTAGGCGCTAAACGGTTAGCATTAATTAATACATTCAAAAATTTATATAATATTTTATCATTTTTTTCTAAAGTTGTTCATCTTCAAATACTAAGTGCCCAACTGGTTGTAATGCAAAGGGTACCTATAATGGTATACCACCAGAGGCACCAGAATCAGTTGAACAGAGAGAACACATTGAAAAC